GTTTCGACAAGTACCTGATGATGACAAAACCTTGTCGAAGCGTTGTACATTTGCTGTTATGTTAAACTTATATTAAAGTTTTTCTTCATTACCCATTCAAGCCGTCTCCAACCATTATTTTTCTACTAACATTTTAGAAAGGGGAACAAAGAAAAACAGTCAAAGTCACTCTTGATGAATTATAAAAGTTTTAGAAAAGGTAATCATGAAACAGACTTAAATACAATTGCTGAAAAATTGCTCGACAGAAATTTTTGTTTCACTCTTGTTGAATTATAGAATATATTCGACAGTATGGGGAATACTCACTTCCAAGTTAGAATTTCTACAATGTTAGTTACTGAACAAAGAAGAACAGTAAACTTAATTTATCATAAATAACATGGAAAACATACAGAAGGCTGAATATGTTATATTAAAGCGATTTTAAACATGCAAATCAGCAAGTCACAGCCAATAAAAAATTACGGTGGAATGATATATATCCGAACTACATTTTGGCATATTTGGCTTGGTGTGACAGACGTAAAATTTTCATATACTGAGATCATAAAGATGTCTTTAGATCAGAGATTTAGAATTTCCAGGACCGGGAAATATATTCTTAATGGCATTGAAAAACAAAAGAATGTTGATCAGCTTGGGGCACCAGGACCATCCAGAAAGAAACCTGGAACAAGTCGTATTCCATCGGTGGCAAGCAAAGTATAGCGTCCTTTAACAGGTCAGAATCCAAGAATACAAAGGTCAAAAGCTGTCCACTCGTGCCCCAGGAAACAGTAAGCAACATAACCAAGAAAATTCTCTGTATACGAGAACAACAATATGGATTTACTAATATAAGGCTTCCACTCATACCTTCCATTCACCCATTTGCGTACCTCAAGCAGCTGGATAATGAAACGGGTACTCATGCTATTCCATATGAAGACATACCGGTGAAGTCCCCAAACGCAGCGTCTATGGATCTCTCTGCGATCAGATTGTTAACGTGAGTGCTGGGTAAAAGTCACCCTAATACACTATATGCATTTTGGAAAGTACAAACAGAGAAGAATGGTACGCTTTGGATACGAAAGCTTTAAGAATTAGGCTTTTGTAATGAAAACTACACTGCAGGGTATTGTCAAGGTGAACATCGTCAGGCAGAGAATGACTGGTCGTGGCGATATGGATAGCAACGATGTGGTGGGGTTCTAAAATCGTTTCAATATAATGTACCCAATCCTCAGTATAACACCAATCACATTAGCTCAATACACCAGTCACATTAGCCCAATTCTCAGTATAACACCAATCACATTAGAAAACAAAATTCATCCCAAGATAAGTTCAGAAAAGCAACTTTAGGAAATTTAATTATAATTAGGTCGGCTAGGTCGATGGTATAGGTGTTGTTATCGAGTGGAACTTTATATGGTTTTAGATGTGTATAGTATGCTTTTTAATCCCAATTATTTTTTTGCTATTCAGCTTCACAGCTAAATTTAACGCTTAGCTTTTTTTTTCATTTTTTGGTAGGATAAATTGTAAAATGAAATAATAACACGTATAAAAAGATTAACTAAGATTGGTTTTATCAGATATTTTCTAACTTAACTTCATCTTTAGATAAGATAAGCTGAGTGCTAAATTTAGTTTGAAAGTTGAGTAGCCTCAAATTCCCCCACAGTAATAAAGAGAATAAAGATGTATATCTATTTATCTGAAAAATATACTAAAACACTATTATAATGTAAATTACTGTAGACAGAGGTTGTATAGTATATATGTTGGTCTCAAACTGTATATAAAATATTGTTGTCTCTAAATTTTAATGTAATAATTCCTCCTTGGGGTCATATAACAATGTGTGATGGACTATATTGTTTATTTAATATCTGTACAGATATATAGCAGTGATATATATATATATATATACATATCTATAGCTATATTACTAATCTTACAAGTTATTGAATTGTTAATTTCTCTTTCTCTTCATTTTCTTCTTTATGGATTCTGATAGTCTTCGATGAAGGAAAGGTTAATGTTTTGATGCAGGGTTTCTCAACCATCTGCTCATCAGAACATAACCATTCATCCTAACGGCCCTATAACGCCTATATTTTATATATAATACCAGATACTGAAATATTGAACCAAATTAATAAATCAGTGAACGTAACTTAACCGTCAACTAGATGGCTGTGCCCTTTTCCATAGACACAGCTGTGGCACTTCTGGAATGAATGTCTGGGAAGCAAAAAAGCTAGTTATTTTCAAGTGACAATCGGTTTATATGTCTTAAATGGCTACCATTCTTTAAAGTCATGATTTACATAAACACAAAAAAAGCGAATGATACAACTATATGGTCGTAGCACTAATTCCAATTACTTGTGTATGAAGATTGTCGGATCATCGAAATAGCATTTTGTTTCACGAAACATTTATGTTGGATTCACTTTATATTAAAAACATAAAATTGTTAATGTCATATATTCTAGCGACCCCTTTGGAAATTGCAACAGTTTTGGAAACCCTACTCTAACGACTGTGTAATAATGTTTTATTCACTCATCCTTTTTCTGTTAAATTTTATGATGTACTCTCATGAAGATAGAATGTTTATACCATAAATATAAAAATTTCATAATTGAGCCTTTGTCTATCTGAAAGTTCGGCGTTACTAAACCGAAACTTACTTTCTCGAAATCAAATACGTAGCTGAAAGCCATGATTCAACAATCTATTCAATATTTTGTTTGTTAGTTGAGGTTTACATTCGAATAATTACCAGTTATATATTTTCTTCTGTTGGTAATATTTTCTTTGTTTTACTATTCAGAGAACACTTTACTATGAAATTGTGAAATCCTAATTCTGTTTCGTTTTCTCAAAATATCATAAATTATGCGCTCATAAGTAATTTACGTATGCTTTTAACAACAACTGTGTTTGTGTTCTAGCTTGAACCCGCTTCTTCTTGTTTTCTATGTACAAACCAAAAATGATTAAACTTCCATTTTACGTAACCTTACTATATTTTAGGAGTTTTGTTTTTGTGATTACAACAATAACAAATAACACAATTACAGAAGGCACAACAAACTATTTTTAGTAAACTAATAATGATAAAAAGCTTACAAAAAACGACCTTTTATCAAAATGTGTAAATCCCTCCAATATGCACTACAAATTTTGAAAGACAACAAAAAATATACCAGTAATGTTTAGCAAAAATATCATGCTCCGCTGTCGTAACTTTTGTTTCGAGATGTTTATAATACACAACAAATTAATACCATTGTTTTCGTCAAGAACAACAATTTTAGTCTTCTTTATTATTGAAGAAGATAAATAAATCTTGAAAAAATTACGCTATTAACAAATGCTTCATACTGTAAATAATAAAGTAAATTATTGTATATATATATATATGCACACAATAGAGTCATGTTATAAAAGGTAATTTCACTGTTTAAGCAAATATGCTCATTAGAAAAAAAAATCCAAAACTAAGAGTAAAAAACATATATATTTTTGCTACTTAAACAGGTTCATCAAAAGAATACAAAGATAAATAAACGTGGAAGTTCAAAATATAATTAGCGTAACAATAATTTCAGGAGTTTAAGTTTAACAGATGTGGAATTTCAATGCTAAATAACTTGGTTATTAAAGCTGAAAACAAAAACAAAACATGACGAAATTGATCTGCAATTTTCCTAGTTAAGAAACGT